ACTCCCACGCAGCCACAGTTAAGGAAAAAAAAAAAATCACAACTTGAATTAAGTCAGATTTATATAATTGTTTTTGCCTCAAACCGTTATTCTATTGATACAGTGAGTCACTAATAGAGAAACACCAGTTATTATATTATACAAATATATTATATTTAATACAAATAATCCATAATCCACATTGTCATTAATTAAGTTTGTCTTTGAGTAACTTCTACTAAATAATTGTTCAGTAGTTTTTATTGTTGAGTTGAATTCTAATAGACGTTGGCTTTATACCCTTTTAATATATGTCTTAAGTGCGAACGGCGCCCAAAACGTGCAAATTAATCATTTGAAATAGTGTCCTCTTCAATCCATCCAGTTCATCCACCAACAGTTAGAAGACAAGTACTTATGTGTGTTCATATGTACATACGTATATGTGAAATGCAACACCCTAGTCTATCACCTTAGTCTATCTAAAGTCTGGGAATAAGGGCACAGTCACTGTACAGATAGTATTTAACGTATATACGTTGCTCAGTACGTCTAGATCGCATGTGTCAAACTCAAGGCCCGGGGGCCAAATCAGGCCCTTGGTGGATTTAATTTCGGCCCGCAGGATAATTTCTAATTACTATTAGATCTGGCCCGCCGGTATATTGCACGCACACCTTCACTCCATCCTGAGGGTCTCCTCAGCTCAGAGCCTGACCCCAAACATTGATGACCTTGCACCCAAGATGAGATGCCAAGTATCTGAACTAGCATCACAGAGCAGCACACTGAGTTTCATGGATGCTTCCTTCTGCACTTTCTCTCTCACGACAACAGGGCATGTTTGGTTTCTCTTTGAGGGAAATAGTTTTGTTGAAGCTGTTGTTGGCCTGTGGAAAAATGTAATCATAAGAAATGACTCTGGAAAAGCTGCAGATAGAGCCATAAGAAATGAATGGAACTGATTATTTAATGTTTAATGTTGTTTTGATAGGCAATCATTTAAGCTTTGTTAGTTCCAGGTTTAATATGTGCAATAAGTTCATTTCAATAAGTTCTGCAAAAAACATTGAACCAGTTCGGCCCTCGACTTGTAGGCCTACCCATTTTTTTATTTTGGCCCACTGTGTGTGTGAGTTTGACACCCCAGGTCTAGAAATTGAAAAGTTCCACGTTTTAAATATAATAGTGTAACATTTACAGCTTACAAAACAGCTAATACTAATCAAAGACCGTTAACACAAACTTATCATACCAGTAACAGTTGTTTTAACCGCAAATCATATAGGATTTTTTCCTATTTAATACAAATCCAAGAAACTGTCTCTTATATATTTAAATTTTTCTTATTGTTTCTGCTTTAATCCAGACAAGTATAAGTATTTTTCGTGGTATATTTTCAATTAAATTCCTTTGAGTGGTGAGTTTGTTTATAGCTAAGTTGTATTATAGAACTGCAGCGAAACCATGTGGCCGCTACTGAGAATACATTCCCCTGGAGACACTGGACAGGAAATAAATGAATTAATAATGGAATATAATGATGAAATTATTGATTTAAAAAAGTACCTGTGTCCAATATTCTAGAGTTGCCTGTTAAAATCTGTCAAATCATTTTTTGAACAGGCTTTTTTGCGACAGCTATCGGCAGGGGTCCTTCCATCGTCAACACCGGAACAACACGTGAACAGAAGGTAAAACAGCTGCGAATGGTTCATAAAACATGAATAAACTAGATTAAATGTGAGTGTTTTTCATCTAATAACGTGTATGTATTCAACCCAAAGACACATAGAGACCCAACTTTAGACTGAATGTTTTTACAGTCCGGAAAATATGTAATTTCTTGTGCACTCGTCGCCAAACTCCGTTTAATTAGTTAATGCAAACCGGTCAAACTGTGTTTTAAAAGACAAGCGTGTTAATTAAATGTGCATTAAATAGATATTTAGATGTAATAAGAGGTGCCCTTCGATTCGGCTTATATTAAATATACAAAAAAGCAATAATTGTCTTAGTTGGTTTATACTTTTGATATATTATCCTATGTATTTCTGCCACTGTAGTCCATATTTCTGTTGCTGTAGTATATTGGTATTTTATAGAACAAAGTATCCATCTATCTATCTATCTATCTATCAGTAATTTTGGAACTACTTTTTGCATTAAAAAAACAAAACAATAACAATCGCTCACATTAATTGACTTAAAAAATATCACAAGAAGAATATCACGGCAGTTGTTACTCACGTGCCTGTGTGGTTCCACTGAGAGAAACCAGTCATGATGTGTCACTATATTCTATTGTGTTGCACTGTTGGAGGAGCCTGTGACCTAAGCATTTCATGTCATAACTACACTGTAGCTATGTGTACACATGACAATACAAGCCTTGAATCTTGAATCACTGATCGTGTGTGTTTCCCATCAGAGGGTCAGGATGGGTCGCTCCTCAAAGGACAAGCGGGACATTTACTATCGTCTGGCCAAAGAGGAGGGCTGGAGAGCGAGGAGCGCCTTCAAGCTGCTGCAGCTGGACCAGGAGTTCAACTTGTTCACAGGTGAGACCCACACCCGAGGAGGGGCTTCTGACAACTTTAACATAGTTATATCCTAACACTGGGAACAAGGTGTTTTCACTTGAAATAAGTTCAGCGATCTGCCAATAGAACAAGGGAACATGTGCTTGGTCAGATCTCTTGAAATAAGAAGGGGTATTTATTAGATGAATCAGATCTTGTAATTAGCTGGAGAACTCATTCTGAACTATGTTTCACCAGAATCAGGAAATGCTGTGTAACAATATAAGCCGCAAATGCTCAAAGGTGTTCTGTTTTCTGATGTTAGTTGGTGATTTTCTAATAAATTTGCAAAAAAATATGTGTTTCATCTGAGATACAACTCAAAATAAGATTTCTGGACTGAACAAGATGATGGATTGTCTAAAATCAAGACCCGATATCTCACTGCAGTGTTACTTCTGAAGTTATTGTGTGATATATCAGGAGTAGAGACATATTCTGAGATATTAGACGAATATACTGAGCCAGATTTAGAGTTTTAGTGAAATGGGTACACCTGAGCCTTGTAAGTGTCCAGTTCTTGCTCTTTGGGATGTTCTGGACTCCTCTGGTACACATCCAAGTGTCTGCCTGACTGTATTTTAGTTCTCTCTTTTACTAATGAGTTGTCGAGATTCATTTATTCCATGTATTTCTTTCAGGAGTGAACAGAGCGGTGGATCTGTGTGCGGCTCCTGGCAGCTGGAGTCAGGTCCTCAGTCGGAAACTCAGGTTTTTAGCTTTTTAAAAAAAAACAGTAAACAGATTGAGATTAAATGAAATGTATCTTAAAAATACTTTTCCTTTTTTATTGTTTTGATTTTCCACTCAGAGGGCTGGAGGAGAAAGGGGAGAAGGTCGAGGAGGTGAAGATCGTGGCGGTGGACCTGCAGGCCATGGCTCCTCTGCCGGGAGTCACCCAGATCCAGGGAGACATCACCAAGGTGAGGAAACGAGGAATAAAACACCAAGTTGAGGTTTTAGGTTCCTTGAGGGGATTGGATCATTCCTACGGTACCTACATGATCTGTGTCTGGACATGTGACCCAGATCAGAAAAATCCAGCATGCAGGGTTCTTACGGTCATTAAAAACCTGGAAAAGTCATGGAAATTCCAAATGCTAATTCCAGGCCCTGGAAAACTTTGGGAAAACATATCTGAGACTGCCAAGGCACACNGAAAATTAGTTAAAGGTCCTGGAGAAGTCATTGAAAATCATTGGTGAAAAGGGGTCGAAAAGACCTGATGAAGAGATGTATATGTCAGGGTTCATACACTTTTTCACCAATGATTTTCAATGACTTCTCCAGGACCTTTAACTAATTTTCCATGACCAAAACAATTACTCTTTCTCAGCGGTACCACTGAAAATGGTTTATTTTAACATGGAACAGGAAAATAAGGTCAGAAACATGTTGTGTAATCTAAAACAAATCCATAGGCTTACTAGCTTCTACAGACTAAAGCAACTAAAATCTCTCCCCAGCAAAACACCTCGTCAGTTAAAACATTTTATGTTTCATTACAATACGATACAGTATTTATTATCTTTATAGTATTACTATTTTGGCGATTAGATAAAATCTAAATTATATTTGATGCAACTTTAGTTACATTTCCATGACTTTTCCAAAACGTTGGGAAAAATATTGTTTTCCGTAACTTTTCCAGGGCCTGGAATTAGCATTTTGAATTTCCATGACTTTTCCAGGTTTTTAATGACCGTAAGAACCCTGATAAGTAGATTCCATTTACTATTCTTCATAGAAGTAAGAAAGGATCAAACACATCACACAGAAAATCTGTTTATATACAAAAGCAGGTTTTATTTGAAAAATTCTATGAAAAAATATTTCCTGTCAGAACTGTACATTTCAAAACACGAACATTAACAGATTAAACGAGAACGAGTTATTTATTTAACAACTCAAATAAATAACCAAAACGATGAGGAATGTTTCTTACCTGATAAATATAAACACAAAAATTAAAAAAATATATTTTAAAATGAAATAAAATACATACAGAATATACAAAATATGAACATTTGCATTCACTGTCCATCTCAGACCCGAACACTGAGGGAGGACGTCATGTTTCAGAACACAAAGAGATGACACACGTCCAACATTTCCAACAATAAGCAGCTCCGCTTGAACAAGAAAACAAACATCCCAACGTCTAGAGGAACATCAACTGTAGAAAAATAAAGCTTTTGCCGGAAGAGTCGGAAGAACTGTCCGACGTAAGAAACAAAGAAAACATGTGTCCTTGGCAAGTATCAAAAAGTGTGTGTGTGTGTGTGTGTGTGTGTGTGTGTGTGTGTGTGTGTGTGTGTGTGTGTGTGTGTGTGTGTGTGTGTGTGTGTGTGTGTGTGTGTTTCAGGTATCCCATCAACAGAGTGATTCACCTGTCGTCCTGATGCTGACATGTTGAGGTGTTTCTGGGGCTGGAGGCGGGTTCCTCAGAGGACAAGACAAAACCATCTTTGAATGAACGTTTGACTTTTCGATAACTCTTCGGTTAGCTTAGCTTAGCACAAAGACTGTAACTGGGGCACACCATGGAGGTGTAAAGAGAGCTAGCTACAGCTTTTAGAGGCCGAATGACTGATACTGCTGGGTGATAAAATGAGTTAACATTCACGTGACCTGCTGTTCCTGCAACCAGTTCTATTTCTACCTCCATTCTGCTTCGTCCAAAGGTAGAAAAATCCACCTGACAGTTTTTATGAAAAACAATGAACACGTCACATCTGGTTCATTTGTCTGTAAAATCTAGAACAAAGCAGTGAAGAAAAC